CCGTTTACAGTCGAAATTCTCTATTGACATATATAAACCTAAAACTAATAAGATCATCACATTGTGTTAGTGTATATATGTACCGTGTTCATTTCAAGACGATTAACGAAGGTTCTCCCCCAAATTATCAGTGAATCCTAAGTAGGGTATGTAAACAATAGATATATAGGTGAAAATACTCGTCTCCTGTATGATATAATGCATTATGCTAAACATTATAATATCCCTGGGTTATTATTGTTAAAATCATTTGATTCGTTGGAATGGGTTTTTCTTGACAAAGCAATACATAAATTTGGCTTTGGAGAAAATATTAGAAATTGGATACGCATATTTTATAAAGATATAAATAGCTATATTATTAGCAATGGCCATGTCTCTAATAAAACTGATTTACAAAGTGGTGTCAGACAAGGAGATCCATTGTCCCCATATCAGTTCATTATTTGTGTTGAATTGTTAGCTCAAGCTATAAAGTCGAATCCACAAATCAGGGGTGTATTAATTTCAGGCTCACAATTTTTACTCGGACAATATGCCGACAATACATTCATCCTCATTGATGGGACGAAAAAAAATCGTTAAAAGCAGTCTTAAAAGTACTCGATGACTTTAAAGTGCTATCAGGCATTCAAACAAATTATGAAAAAACACACGCGATTTGGTTTGGGTCTAAACACAACGGAAAAGAAAGAATTAATACAAATCGTAACTTAATGTGGAATGAAGGGAATTTTAGGTATCACATTAAACACAAGCTTAACCAATCTTATTGAAATAAACTTTCGAGATAAAATTAAGGAAAATAAACGGCTGCTGAACATTTGGAAACAAAGAAACCTGACGATAATTGGAAAAATAACTGTCACCAAAATCCTAATATTGCCAAAATTTAATCATCTATTCTCAACCCTGCCTTCACCTTCACAAAACATAATAACAGAATTAGAACAATTGTTATATAATTTTGTATGGAATGGTAAGGGGGATAGGGTTAGTAGAAAAATTCTGGTAAATAATATATACTCTGGAGGAGTGAAAATGCCACACATAACGAGCGTAATTAAAAGTCAGAAGATATTCTCGATAAAAAGGTCTCTCTCAACCCAAAGTTCCAGTCCATGGAAACAAATGTTTAACATAATGTTTGCTTTCTGTGGGGGAAAATTTGTTTGGAATTATATGAGCAATGGGCTACGTACAATATGCGATCAGGTTAGTAATGAATTTTGGCAGAAAATAACGAACATATGGAGCAGGATGACAGATAGTACTAGACAAATTATGACAGCAAAGGACTGTCTGGGTCAAACATTGTGGTATAACTGGGAAATTCAAAAAGGTAACAAAACTATATTTCAAAGTGGCACAACGAAGGAATAAACTACGTTAATGATTTAGTCAACCCAGATGGAACATTTATGCCGTACGGAGAGTTCCAACAACAATGTAACTTGAAAAGTGATTCTATAACATAGTAATCGACTTTATTGTCAATTCCGAAGAAATGGAAAACGGAAATAGAAAATAAAGGAAAAAATGTTGAACTTGTTAAAGATGCATATTTAGACAAGTTTATTTTCACTGGAAAACCTTCAAAAAACGTCAATAACCATCTAGTGAGTGGAATTAAACAAATGCCAAGTAAAATCATGTATAAATGGAAATCAATTTTAGGCAAGCTAGATAATGAATGGCATTTAATATTTGCTAGGCCGTTCAAAATAACCAAAGAAACCAAATTGCAAGCCTTTCAATATAAAATCATTCATAGGTTTTTAGCTACAAACTATAATTTAATTAAAATGAGAAAAACAGAATCGGCTTTGTGCACATTCTGCGAGTCGAATCTGGAAACAATAAAACATTTATTTTATGAATGCGTTTTTGGTCACTTTTTGTTAAATGAATTAAAGACCAAACTGACTATATAGATATACACCATTTCACATTAAAAGATATATTATTAGGTA